CCCCCAAACCCCATATGCGAAATAATGATTGCCGGCAAAAATATCCATACCCGAATATTGTTTTGTAAGTATGATAATAGCGTGGCCGGAGACATGACATGCGAAAAATGAATGCAACTTGAGTCGAAAAAAAAATAATGCGAATATATATATGCCAATCTTACGTAGCACAGCCTCGGCAAGAATGATTGATCTCACATAACAATTAACAAAGCTCCCGCAGTGTTCCCATACTTTTATAGATATTATTGGGATTTAGCCTCCCAACATTCAAGGCAATAGGCTAACTATATAATTCATGACCAGTCTAAATTTTAGATTATAAAAACCGTTCCCTCAGGGAACGATCAGTCACGTGATTTTCATGGCAACTTTTACTGCTTAATGTATATGGGATTACAAGATGTCGAATACTGAGAAATATTTATGGGATTTAATATTTTGGGATTATGATTTGTAATAATACAATTTATATTTATTTGCACAGCATTTACAAAACGATGCCTTACATGTGTGTTAAACTTCATTATAAAAATACATCAGTATATGTAGAAAATAATCTAATCTTTGCCATCTAATTTAATGTTTACTTCAATAATTAACCCATCAAATGAATTCGGAATGATGTGTCAATAGAACCACTATTGGTATTATTAAAACTCTACTTCAACTTTCTCTTTTTTACCGGATTTTTTTTCCTTGGTTTCCTTGGGGTTTTGAAACAATCAGAAAAAAATTTAATCGGGGGTGGTGGTGAAGAAACGGAAGAAAATTGGCCAACCTTCATCAATTCATTTGTCAAGTCATCTTCTGGCTTAATATTGTTCCTAATATTTAGGACTTGCAGGTTGTCCTTTGTGATAATCTGTGAAAACGAAACACAATGAATAGGAAGCTAATGAGAAATGGGACCATAATTACAATAAAATTTTTTCTTACCTTATACTGATAAATTGATATTAGAAGCTTGAGAAAGGATATTACCCCCATTTCTGAAAACTTGCTATCTACATTATAAGATAGAGGGTCTTTGCGAAAAATGCAAATCGACCCACCAGCACGCCACAACCTAGCGAATTGAATCCATAAGCCAAGATGTAAAATGCCAATCACTTGAATTTTATTTGCTTTTTGATCGTCATAACCTACGGCCTTCATTATATCAACATACATGTCGCGGAGAGTCTTCGGCATCTTAAAAGTCTCGATAAGATATTTCTGGTCTGAAACTCCTGAATAGGATCTTGCTCCTTCGATGGCTCCAACTTCAAGAAGTTTGTCAACGGTATATATTATTCCGTCAATTTTACGACCGGTGAGTTTTCTTGTACGTGTATTTGCTTTTCGATCACGGTTCTTCCTGTTTGCACTACTCAGCGATGGCGCGTCGGTTCTATAAGCAGTGATGATAAATGATTAATCACATTGAAAAAAACAAAATTTATGATAATTTACTATTAATGATTAAACCTTTTAATGTCGGTACCCAGTTGGATGTCCCTAATACAAAAATCAATGCACGCTCCAAAAAGTGCCACCGTGAACCAATCTTCGTATTGTTTCCTAATTAATGGAGCATCCACATTTTCATACAGGTTGCAAAGTGTTCGCAATGCCATTTGGATCCATTCTAGTTCGTAATGTTTGTTGACATCATATTCTTCATTCTCTTTGAGGTATGGAGTCAATACTACAGCACGTAATTCTTTTAACGTTTTTTTCCCGTACTTCGTTAGTTCTTTTGCAATGTCATGTGGAACTGGTGGAACCCCAATTCGATCTTTTGTTAATTCTTTCCACTCCTCCTCGTCAAATAACGCTTTGATATCCTCATCGTCAAAGTCAACAATGTATGAATGGGCATGACTTATAATAATAGTATGTCAGTGTCATTGAACGAAAAGATATAAATTTCAAGAAACTTACTGTTCATAGTCCATGTCCTTGGCAAATTCGAAGAGAACGTCCTCCACTATTGTGCCTATGCTCAACCGCAACTTCGAATCGTCTGGGATAGCCTCATAAGCCATGCGAAAGGCAACCTTATCGACTTTTGGAGGGGTATCATCTTCTTCGTCCTTATCTCCTGTATCATTTTCCTCATCCGTATCAGATTCATCCTCTGACGATACAATCTTTGTTCCGCAGTACGGACAAAATATGATTAAGCTAAAGTTACTAATCTGAAGAATAAAAAAAATTAAGTATTGTTGTTTATACATTGCAATAACAAAATTTAATGTATTATCGTACCTCTGCGCAACAATTGAGGCAATAAGGAAGTTCATGTTTTTCTGTCACTAACAACGGTGGAGGGCTCTGACCTTCGGTATCACTTGCGGGTTGACCTAAGGAAAAAAATCCCGAATCATCATTTTCTTCGGATATAAAAGTGGCTTCAGACTCATCCTGGAAAAGATTCTCATCGATTAGCAATTATTCAGTCTTTTGATTGCTATGAATAGTCAAATCGTGATAACTGAACAATTCGCTTCAATGTGAAGACCATACCTTGTCCTTCTCGTTGTCTGCTTCATTGGAAATGCCTCGTTCATTGCTTATGATTTCTGATCTCCGCCATTTCTTAATTGGATTATTGGTTGGGGGACTTTGAAAGAAATAGTCAATCTCGTTATTCAAATCCTACAGAAATACAAGGGATAACATTAAATAAATTGGCAGTTAAAAAACATTGGCTATTTCTGCTGATTCTAACGAACTCTAAGAGCTAATAAAATGCATCTGTACCTTTTCCCGATCTCTTTTTGACTGGGATGATTCGGAGTAATTCAACGATTCACGCCCAGGGGACATGGAAACATTTGACGGATGAACTTTATATTCGGAAGTTTGTGCCTGTGTATAAGAGCCATGTTGAGGGGGTAAAGTTCGTTCTCGTTCCACTGAATCAAACTCCTTGTCAGCGTATACTTGAAATCCTCGTCGTGCTATCTGGAGGCCAGCTTGCCTTCCCTTCTTCTGCAAATAGCAAGTTCAGTAGTAAGGACCAAAGGTCTATTGCTAAAACATATATTAAAGAGTATTATAATAATAAATCACTTGCCTCGTTAATATTTGATTCCAAGTCGACCAATTCGGATTCCAGCTTTAATGACGCGATTCGATCTCTCGTATCCCAAATTTTCTTATTTTCATCACTCTTGGCAATACCCTATATATAAAAATAAAGAAATTAATAACGATATGATAAAATCAGATAATACACTCCGAGACAAAAAAACGGGTGGGAAGAAAGTCCAAAAGAAACCACGGGCTCTACGGCCCTCCCTCAGTGACACTACGGACTATGAGTTTAGCTTAGAAGGAGTTTTCTTATCCAGACACCACGGTCCGGCTCAACGTTTCCATGACCACGCACATACTGTGCTACCCGTCGGTTTTACATACTGAAAAACCTTCTCAACATACTGTTGCCGGATTAGCCAAGGAGTACGCTGACATCACCAATTGTATTGAGGTCTACAAATAACTATACTTTCCTTTAGTTCGCTCTGCAATCCAGAGATTATTTCACAAGCAGGATGTATTCCCGTGTATATTTGATTCAAGCGCTTCAGTTCCTCAGCTAAGGCCGTATGTGATTTTTGCTTGGTAATTAACGCTGAACGTGGTTGATTCTCAATCCAATAAATATCCCATTCATTTACGTCTCCCCAGTTGTTGGGATCTTTGTCCCAGTAATCTAAAACAGCCAAATTTATATTTCTCAACATTCCGACCAATAAAAATAAGAACAGAGTGTATACTCACTTGGATATTTCAGCTTTGAACGTTCCTCTTTTAGCATATCGACAAGTAAAATTTTTTGGAAGTCGTAAGCACGCGATTTTTTAGGACGATCATCCTGATCACGATTTAACAATTTTCGCGGGTGTCACATGATTCAAGCCACTGGGTGATACTGTAGTCTCTCACATGACCAGCCTATCTACTATCGCGAACTTGAGTTTATTGCTTGAAGTGTTGCAGGTAAGACAATATTCCAACTTATCTTGGGATATCAACTTCGCTAATTCAGGATCATAAGGTAACTGATTCCCATTTTTGAGGTACCATGAGCCATGTAATCCATAATTCCCATGTTTTCCATCGCAAATAGGGCATGGTGAGCTCCACGGCTAAGGTTGCTGGACGAAATCAAGAGTTTAGACAGACGTCTAAATGGTAAAAGTAAAACTTGGTTAAATTAT